CTTGTTTGCAAGGGTATAGTTTGTCAAGGTATAACATTAAATGAAGAGCTCTTTTCCAAAACGCGTTAAACGACATTTAAAAAAAAAATGAGTTTGTCGTGTCATTCTGCTGTGGACAGAACCCTTTCACTGCTCCATCAACGTTTCATGCCGAATCGCTATATTTCCTTGTTTAAAATGTACTGCAAGATACAGTTCCTTTCCAAGCCGCAATAAGCGCCAGCCCTGTTTTTAGCCTAAACACGATAAATCCTCAAATTCAATGAGCGCTCTACACAATCCAGCACGGCGGCACTCTGAACAGAGGTTTATTATGTTCATAAAAAGATTCATTCAAGGTGGAGGCAAAGAGAAAACTGTCCTCCCACCGCCAGAGCGTGGCTCCAACTGGTACAGCTGATCTCACATTAGTGGAAAGCAAAATCGCCGCTATAATTGGGGAGGTCAGCGTGAGTGGTATTGTGTCAGAAAAGGACGGAGACACTGACATGACTGAAACCACAGCAGAGCCAGGTTAAACAGATTTTTAATCATTAACGCTGTACATTTGAGTATGTGGAGTGATAAATGATGCCAATTGTTTGTCATCCAGTCCTTCCGGAGTCTGAAGCTGTGGGTGAACAGGAGGTTCAGGATGACGGGTTCTCAGATGCAGATGTACAGTGTCCAACTGCGTCTGGCACATCCAAAAGTGGTCGGGTACTCACTGACGCAGTCCTGCAGTTACAGCGAGAGACAATAAATGCTGTCAACGGGGTTGGAGATGAGCTACGCCAGATGAGAGCTGTGATGCAAGAAATTGCAAAATCATTAAAAGATGCAGTTAAAACATTAACCTTTTTGTCTTTCTTTACAAACGCCACATGACAGTGGAAAGTTGTGAGCAAGGAGATAGGGAGGGATATTGAGAAGCACCCATTATCCCTCTTTGTCTCCTCCGTCCTCCATCCTATGACCCAGAAACCAATCGAGCTCAGCCATCTTGAAGGACATCTCAATTCTCTAATTGCACCGTGAGGAGTCGAGGAGTGAGGAGACTTCCAGAGGGGGCATGATCGAGGATACGCAGGTGTATCCTAAGTGATTTATTGATTAAACAAGACGCACTTATCAATTCTCCTCCCCCTTCACATCGGTCACAATCATTTAACTTTATACTTTACCTTTGCAGTTTATATAAACCACACATCTCACGTATTTCAACAGTGTAGCCTATGTTTATTATTATCTATTATAAATTAATTAAATAAGCCTCAAAATCCTCCCACACTCATAAGAATAATAAAAACCTTGTGCTTGCTCTTGAGTTTGTCTTGACTTATTCTTGTTTAGGTATTGGGGTTGGGAGCTAAACCTTGCTGCCTCCACACATCACACCATTTTATTATGTTACACGTTACTTCAACCCTAGACTAGATAGGGACGTAACAGAAATGTTGAGATCAGAAAATCCTTTGGTGAAAGACAATGTAGAGTTAAGGAGGTCGACGAGACAGAAGAAGACTCAAAGTTACTTACAGGATTAGGAGTAGTTAGAAGTGAGTTCCCCAGCCACAGGGCAAGAATGCATCCTGGAACTCACTGGAACGGAGGTAGTCCACCCAAAGTCCCTAGTTTATGATGTAAATGCAAATGTTATGGTTTTGTGTGGTTATTACAACTTGGAAAAATTTACAATAGTTATAAACGTGATATATTGTCAAAAGCAATGTAGATAACTATTTGAAGCTTGTGTTATCTGGAAAAGGGGATGTAGTAAATGGGATGATAGTCAAGGTCATATTTTGAAATGTTTTCAGCAATGAGGATTAAATAAAAGTCCTTAACTTTTTCTGTTCAAAATTTATATAATGAGCGAGTTCATCATGAATCCATGTACACCTATAATAAGTGTTCACATTGGGACTATTTTACACTAGTTCGCTCCCGTTGTGTAGCCCAGTACCTGTGTGACTCGTCATACACATACACCGGGAGAAGTAGTTCCGGCTACAATGTTCTAAGATTATTATCGCTCGCTATAGTGCCAAAAGTGTAAAAAATAAAGCCTCACAAATAACTTGCAAGTCTTGAGGCCCCAGACAGCAGTCATTTCAACATGGCATCATGACTTTTGCTTAAAGGTGCCATCTGGAACTAAAAATCAAAAAACATTCCATATTCCATAACAAATGGGGGCAGTATACCTCCAGAAAATGTGTTGTACCGCGGCCGCGCACACTCGCACGTCTTCAAACAATACAAGCGAGCGCTGTTTTGCTCTCTTTCTCCGCATATTATTCAAATTAATTGACACGATAGTAAAAGGTTGGAAGACTGCAGTTTCACATGGAGCATTTGGAGATTTCTAGAGATCAGAGACTCAATGAAAAACATCTCAACACTAAATGATGAAGACCGCCTCATAGACGCCTGTCTCAAGAACAAGCTGGTGCATTTAGACGATATGGGAAAATAAAAGCCTGCGGGCTATTATTTGAAGTTTATGGTATTCGTTTTGTTCATATTACACTTTTATTGTTAGTTTGAATTAATTTGACAGACAGCATTCGCTGATGTTGATCAACCTAGCGCCATTCAGAGCTGCCAACTCTCACAAATTCACTGTGAGACACATGCAATGAACACTTAGCAAGCAAGCAGGTTAGTTAAGCTTTAAGATTCTGTCAATTTTATTACGCAATTCAAAAAATAAATACCGTTTTGGCGCTTGTACATGAACACGACAGATCCCTAGCGCACGTGAACTGATCATCTCTACTAGCTAATGGAAAAAGAAAACGAACTCTGTTGAAAGATACAGTATGCTACAAATTACCAAAATGTATTCCTCATGCATAATGTCGACCAATCATTTTTTGAACTCTTCCCTGAACTGAAATGTAGTACTGGGCTGTATTTTCCACACGACTGACATCAGGTTCAAGTACACACAAGCCGCGCGAGTTACTCGTCTATTGCAGTTTGGCTGGTGGTAATGTTGCCCGCCCGCATACCGCCTCCCATGGCCGAAACTGGTATTACGACACCTGCCGGGCCGGGGCTAGTAATTTAGCATGCTAATTCAGGTTAATATCTCGGCAGCACTATAACTTATCAGTTTTTTAATTACATCATTGCACTTATTTCTTCTCATTCTTTTGATGCGTGTAGCTCATTTTTTGGATATTTTTACCTCAATTATTACATATGGCACCTTTAAACATACACGCCACTTTAGAGTCAAGTGGCGTGTTATCTATATACATTTTAAGCTATCCGCGTGTATGTCTATGCCATTAATGTCCGAGTGATTCCGCATGTCTGTACACGCCGTCAAATGTCCGAGCGAAATGAAGTAAAATATACATCTACATCTGGGGAGCGATCTTTTTTTCTAGGATGGTAGGGGAACAGTCATAAATGCCATTAACCCCAGTGACGGGTAGGTTTAGGGACGGGGTTGAGGAGGTAAGTCATATATTTATATATACAGTAATAACGTTAAGTCAACGGCATTCATAAACACGCTGAAAAGCGATTATGCGTGTTGATAGCACGCCAAAAATGGAAATACGAATTGGCGAGTCATATATACGCTACTTCATGACATCAGTCTGGTCATTATAGTCGATATTTTATTTTTCTTTCTTTTTTTTTTTTTACACACCCCTGTGAATATTTATGTTTTTGCATTTAAAATAGGGCCAATATATAAGCTTGTTCTAGGCTTACGTTTTTAAATTACAAAGGGCCTACTTATGTTTTTGTTATTGTATTTTCAATATTATAGGCCATTATTTGTGCATAATCATATTTGTTTATAGTAAACATACCATTTGAAAACTACATATTTTGTCATCCTTGCTGCAAGCTTACAAGAGCGATAATATCATTAAATGTGAAGGGGGGCCCTAAAATTGTCTTGGGAAAAAGGGGGTCCACTGGGAACCACTGCACCAGAGGATATTACAGTCAGGTCCAGTTTGGATCCAGCCTATTATGGAAATTTTAGACGCCTCAACGCCTTTGAAGAGACGACTTTATTCAACATACATTATCACAACTAGTAATAATTACTTTAATGAGCTCATTGTTACTGCCTTTATAAGCTAATTGTGTGATATGTCTTCCCATAGAACTATACATTTCTGAAATATGGACATTACTCAGACACTTCTGACAACAGATACCTTTCAGGCATTATTGAGGAGACTCATCTACACATTCATTTGACACCTGAATCACTCCCAGAAACAGCATTGTTATGCTGCTAGCAAATCCTAGGCTTAGTGCCGTACAATATGCAAAGACTGGTATAAGTGTCTTTGGCGTAGAAATGCCGTATTGTTTTTTTGTTGTTGTACATGTGTCTGTTTTATGTATGTTGCATGTTATGTCTGTGCCTTCTGAATGGATCAAGAGTCTGGAAGTGAAGTTGATTTATGAAATAATATGCATGTGAAAAATGCTATACAAAAATGGGAATGAGGTTTATTAAAACCAATGAGGTTTATTCTCGTGTTACGCATCACGTTTGAGCTTCAGCAAGAACCAATGAGGTTCATTCTCGTGTTACGCATCACGTTTGAGCTTCTGCAAGAACCAATGAGGTTCATTCTCATTTTACGAAGCACGTTTGAGGTTCACAAGAACCAATGAGGTTCATTCTTGTGTTACACAACACGTTTGAGCTTCAGCAAGAACCAATGAGGTTCATTCTCAAAGTTTAATCTGTTTATCACATAAAAGTGATCGAGTCTCTTTAGAAAATACATACTAAACCACTTGATACAATTAGATTGGTTTAATGATCTCTTTTTTAGGGCAACAAAAAGGAAGCAAATACATATTTTCTGACGCCATTATAAATTGCTGAGCCAGTTAAGCTTTTGAGAATTTTCCAAAGACACAAAAAGATGATGAATAGGGCCCCAAATCTGCATAACTTGTCATATATCATTTTTTTTCAATATCTTTTTTCTCTTAGTAACATTACGATTACTTTTTTAGATGGTTAGCAGTTCTTCTTGTTTGCAAGTCTCTTTTTCACACCAAAGAAAAGTGTAAGGGATCTCTCCAGTGTGAACTGTTGAATCTGAAACTCTTTCCACAGTGATTGCACATGAAAGGCTTCTTTCTGGTGTGAGTTGTCTGTTTAAAGATGATTCCTGTCTAGTGAAGCTCCTTCCACACTGATGACATATATAACAGTCTTTCTTTAGTGAATTTTCATGTGGGAATTGAGGGTTACTTTAAATCTGAAACTCTGTCCACACTGTTGGCAGGTGAAAGGCATCTCTCCAGTGTGAATTCTCACGTGGACTTTAAGGCTTTTGTTTTGAGTGAACGTTTTTCCACACTGTTGGCAGGCGAACAGCTTCTCTCCAGTGTGAGTTATCATGTGGACTTTAAGGCTTTTGTTTTGAGTGAACGATTTTCCACACTGTTGGCAAGTGTAAGGCTTCTCTCCAGTGTGAGTTCTCATGTGGTTTTTAAGGTCTCCATTATGAGTGAAACTCTTTCCACACTGTTGACAGGTGTAAGGCTTCTCTCCAGTGTGAATTCTCATGTGGCCTTTAAGATGTACTTTTTGAGTGAAGCTCTTTCCACACAGTATGCAGGTGAAATCCTTCTCTCCAGTGTGACTTCTCATGTGGACTTTAAGATGTCCTTTATCAGAGAAACTTTTTCCACACAGTATGCAGGTGAAAGGCTTCTCTCCAGTGTGAATTAACATGTGTCTTTTAAGGTGTCCCTTTCCAGAGAAACCTTTTCCACACTGTTGGCAGGTTAAAGGGATCTCTTTAGTGTGAACTCTCATGTGGACTTTAAGTCTTTCGTTGTGAGTGAAACTCTTTCCACACTGTTGGCAGGTGAAAGGCTTCTCTCCAGTGTGAGTTCTCATGTGGATTTTTAGACTCCATTTTTCATTGAAACTCTTTCCACACTGAGAACAGGTGAAATATCTAGTTCCTGTCTTCTGAGCTGTTTTTTGTGTGAAAGTCTTTTTAGTTTGTGAGCAACTAAAATATTTTTCTTTTGTTAGGTCTTCATGATCTTTCTCTTCCTTCTCATTCAAAACTTGACTTTCCATTTTCAGTGGCATCAGGCCTAAAGTGAACAGAGACGCGTACAAGATAATTCCAGTTTAATGAGATTACATGACACATATTGCAACAATTATACCAATGGTTCACAAAGTGGTTCCAAACTTCCCCCAAAAAAACATTTCCAGAGTTCATCATAATATTCCACAAGAATAAAGTTTTTTTTGATCACCAAATCTATATTAAGGCATTATAATTATGGCATATTAAAAAGTTAAGGAAGTTTAAAACTTTATTTTTAACATTAAATCAAATATACTGTATTTAATATTTATTATTTTTATAAAATATGTATTTTACAAAATATTTTTATTATAAAATTACTATTGAATCAAAGCCATTTATCCAAGTTGTGTTCCAACTTTGAAGTTGATATCACAAAAATTGAAGTTCCCGTGATTTTGTTTAGGCATATCAAAAATAGCCACCGGGTGACTTGCATTCCATTTAATTTAATTATTAAATAGTTAATTAAATTGAAATTAAAAAACTTCAAGTGAAATTAAAAATCACTTCTGTCACAAAATATGGAACCTTGAGACTCAACCTTTTTTAATCTTGACAAAACACATTGTCAGAAAGGTCTTTGATCATAAATTATAAAACATAACGATGCCCAAAAGGTGAGGAGCCCATTAAAATAATTTAGAGTACCGTTTCTATGGTAACACAACATCCAATTTCAAAACGGGTTTCACAGGCTGAATCTTGAGTTCGTAAGAAGATATATAATTTGTCAATATTAGATCAGGTGAAGAATGAGATAATTGTTTTAAAGGGGTCATATAATGGTACATGCACTTGATTGATTGTGCTGCAATGTGTGTTGCCAGTGCCTGTACACAACCATCATTTAATGATAAAGATCCACCCAGTGGTTTTGTTCTAATCTCCTTTGTTTCAACACAGACCCGCCCTGAACGAGCTGTCATCATAGACTATAGTCCGCCATTACACTGGAGCAGAATGGCGTCTAAGCGACTGTGTTGTTCTGTTCTTGGGTGCAATAACAAACAGAAATCATTCTGATGTTCCTAAATTTGAACCGCTGAAGACGCAGTGGCTGAGTTTTGTTTTCAAAGGGAATATTCCCCACGATCAACGTCAATACTTTCATGTTTGTGCGAATCTTTTCTCACCAGACTTCTTTATAAACGAGGATCAGTATAAAACTGGTTTTACTAAGAAGCTGCTCCTGAAAAAATAATCGGTACCAACTATATGTTAGTTGTAACGTCAATATGTCAATGAACTAACGTATACACCACTAAAAACACAGCGTTCGTATCTCACAACTCTACTCTGCCAGAGCATACAAAGATGGGTCAAAATAACATTACGTTAACCAACCATTCAGAAACGTCCTCAAACCTTAAGTGTAGGGCTGCAACTAACGATTATTTTGATAATCGATTAATCGGACGATTATTTTTTCGATTAATCGATTAATCGGATAAAACATTTATTTCATTTTTTTTTGTTTATTATAACTAAATAAAACCCTAAAAACCACACTCTTTTGTGTGTTAAACAATCTACTTAATACAGACAACTTCATTATAAAGAAAAACAACAAATAAAAAAAATTATATATGACCATAACCTATGACAAAAATGCTATTGTAAACTAGATTAGTGGATAACTCAGAAAAACTTAGCCTAGAAAAATCACAAGTGCACAATAATTTTATAAAATCTGAACATTTAGTGAAAAAAACATTCCTTAGTGGGGAAAAAATAAGAGACAATAAGTGTAGCACTAACTCTGGTAAAACGTTACACATTGCTCTTTGTATTGTTGTTATACATTCATGAAAAACATCGTAAAAATCAGAAGCACAGCTGTTCAGTGAGGAAGCAATATTGACTGTTTATTATACAGTATCTTTGCAATAGTTTATTAAGCTTTTCTTTTAACAGTTTTAAATTTCAGTTAGGCTACTGTGCACGTGAAGAACAATTATAGTGCGCCGAGTCTACTCTAGTGTTGTGATCTAACAGACACTCAGTAGAAAGTGATTAAGTTACAGCAATAAAAGTCTAGCAAGATAGTCATTATATTACAAAACCATAGACCTTTATCTACGGATCAATTATAACATTGAATCATCTTGGAAAGAGTTTCATCATGTTAACTGTTGTAACCGAACGCGACGCGCTGTTTGAACACCGAATAGAGAATGACTGACAGCCGCAGTGGAGGGAAAAGCTTACGTTAACTTGAATTTAATGACTTAAATATACATTTCTATCTCACATTATACTATAGTATGGCTTCATAAAGTATACACGATTAACGTAGGTCACCTATTTTGGTTTCAAAACGGCGAATTTGCCGAAAGGTGAATGATTTTCGTGTATGCTCCATATTGATAGCGGTTTCCTGATGCCCGAAAATTAGTTCAAACTCACGGAATCAAGAGTGCGCATGTGAGACAGAAGATAATGTGCTCCAAACCGTCCGTGTTGCGCACAGACCGGCGAGGGAGAGAGACTGCGTCTGTGCCTCATGAAGCGCATGTAAGAAGCGCATGTAGCATGTAAACAATCCCCGTGACGTAATCAGACCAACTAATCGATAATGACATTCGTTGACAACGATTTTCATAATCGATTATAATCGATTAGTTGTTGCAGCCCTACTTAAGTGTCGAACTTTTTTGCGGCCGTCATCTTGTTCTGATGCGACTCCGGTTCAAATTGATACGGTTGCACAGATGTTTGTCACAGATGAGACTCCCGCTGCCATTCTCTCTCCAAATATCCCTCAACTGCAACACTCCACGTGCGCTGTGTCTAAACGCCGCAGAACAGGTTTATTATTTAAAGAGCATATTGCAGGTAAAAAAAAATCTAATTTTGATAACCTTGTATGAAAATACCATATGAAAAGTTAATGCAGAATTTAAAATGTCTTAAAACAACATAATGGCACTAATTTAGTAGATAAAGTGAGCGTTTCTTGGACTGCTCGTAAAAACTGCTTTTTTTTTTACATTGCGTCATTTTACGTCATATCAGGGAGCCTCAGCCTCGGCTCAGTGAAGAGTATGCTGGTATTCAGTGAGAGCTGGCGTCAGTCAGTGTGCTTTTTTGTATTTTAATGTATCATTGTCATGGTAAATTATTGTGTTTGTGGAGACTGCAAAAACTCCAGCCTGTCAGGATTTCAAGATCGAGTCCACAAGTTTCAATTACAAGAAAAGGGACGGTGCTATAGCCTTTCTTTCGTTCCTGGTGTGGTTTGTACAGGTGAAGAGACGGGATTTCTCTTCCGCATCGGCTTCGGAAAATGCGGGCATGTGCAGCATTCACTTCAGATCAAATGATTATCATTCCGGCGATATGATGGAGTTCAACATGGGATGCCGAAGCAAGAATATTGATCGTCGTATACTATACCAATGGCATCAAATAGTGTGATACAGGTAACTTAGTCATGCCCTAAATAGAGGCAACTTGTAATTGAAAAACAAAATGGGTTGTTTACATACTCAAATCTTTAATTTTCTGTTTGTTTTAACCCAGGTGAAAAATACATAAATTTACCTCTATACTTTTAGTACAATAGAAATATACTCAAGTATAGTTTTTTATACATTTAATAGTTTAAATCTACCCTAAACATACTAATGTCTGCTGGCCTGTTATAGGATCATAATAATATGTACAGTATTGTGAGCACAGTGTATATTGTTAGGGAGCGTGTATATCTATAAGCACGTCTCTCACCAAAAGAGACCTGTCCAGGGACCTCATTTATAAACGTTGCGTACGCACAAAAGAAGGTGTACGCCGCTCTCTATGCAATAGTTGGTATTTATAAAAAGCAAACTTGACGGTAAAATGTGCGGTTCTTCACGCAAGCTCTGACCCAGGCGTACGCACAAAAACGGGTGAAATGAGAAATGGCGACACCGTCGGCAGTTGGAAAAAACACGTGAAAGCGTGTGAAACTGTAGACGGTTATGTAAAATAAATGGCAATACTGCCTCTCATAAATAACACGAAGACTTCACGAAGAAAATCTTACAATTAACAGCCTACACGAACACCCGTTTGATTGATCTGCAACAGAAATGCAAATTAACAAATATTTTCAAAAAAGAAAGAAATATGTTCTTCAATAATATTGGCATGTACAACTCATCCTCATAAATAAGATGGTAAACAGAACGAAATAATGTACAAAACTGATATTCTCGCCAATATGTCCGTCTAACGGAGCAGATATAGCAATTAGATAGTCAGTCAGATAGATAGATAATCAGAGAGATATTTAGCCTAGATAGATCGATAAATAGGTGTATTATTTGTCCACTGGGGAAAGTCGTTTTCATCGTAAAAATATCTTCATCAGCTACGGAATCATGGTATTCATGCATATGCCTATAGTTTGTTTTATTTTTGATAAAATAACGTATGACGTGTCTTAACCATTCAGAAAGCTGCAAGAAATTACATTTGCGCTGAACTATTTCTCACATTTAGATTATAAGCGACATCCGTAGCTTGTCAGATGAAGAATTAAATGGATGTAAATAAAATGCCCCATCACAATGCGTATAATGACGCACAATGGCTGATCTTGAGCTCTTAGAAGATGTGGCGATTAAATGGAAGGATTCGGAGTGAACGCATCATCTTCACAACAAAAGGTGTGGAAAAAATATATTATTTATTCAAGAATTCCCTCATTGTGCAGTTTATTTCAGTTAGGACAGTCTTGATTTCCCCCAACTCCTTGGCCACCTCTCTAATTGAATTAATGACTAAACGTTTTTTTTGCCTCGACTCTGATGTCCGACCATTTCTTTTTTTATTTCGGCCACAGTCCGAGGTTGTGAGCATTTACGGCGTCTGCAACCTTTTGGCACTCAAGTGCCTTTTTGGCATTAGTAATGCCCACACTGTGCCCTCCAAACAACATTTTTCTCCTCTTTTCCACCTCGCCAACGATAACTTCTACTTCACAATGGCCCTCATTTATCAATCTTGCGTAGA